CACCTAAATATTTTTTGTATAATGTGTGGAATAGGGTTCTATATTTGTTTTATTTCAATAGTGGTCCATGAACCTTATTTGTTGAATAAGCCTTATTTTCCCCATTGATTTTAAATATCAATTTAATCATGTATTACATTGTTAGACAGATATATACATTTGTTTCTGCAATGCTCATTTTGTTTCATTGATCCACTTGATTATTTCTGTGCCAGTGTCATGTTTTAATTGCTGAGACCTTATCACGGATTTAAATTTTTTAATATTTTATAATGGATTTTGACATTCAAAAAATAAATAAAATCAATCTGCATTTTAAAATAATCCACCCAATAATAACAGGATACACAACTTTTTTTCAAAGCACAGAGAACATTTACCGAGCAGCAGGGAAGCCTACCAGAGTTTCTCATCCCCTCTACCTCTGAGCAGCAGAGACTAAATGCATGGTCAGTGCAGCAGAGAGATTGGGGGCTCCCTCCCTCCTTCCAGTCCCCTCTCGCAGGGTGGAGGCTCTACCCCAGGCGTAGCATTCAGAGAATACTTGGGCCCCGATCTCATTCACCCTGCTTGTAGGGCACTGGAAGAGGCAAGTTGCATAAATAGCTAAATAAAATCCAACAACAGTAACAAAACCCAAAATAAAATGACCCTATTTGAATAGAAGGCCTGTAAGCCCACAGACTCATGGACTCTGAGAACCAGAAGGAACCCCAGGAGGAACCACACAGGTGACTTTTGAGAGCAGTAAGGAGGAGCCATTTGGAGGTGACAGGCACCCAGTCATCAACTGACCTGAGCACTGACAGAGGGACATATGATTCAAGGGCAGATAAATCCGTGTCCTAGAGTGAAGCCAAGGCCATGCTCTGCCTCACTAAGAGATGCTGAGCCTACTCCGTCACCTCTCAAAGGCAGCTTTCCTGTCCGTACAATGAGGACTGGTCAAGATTGTCTATAGGATTTTCCAATATATTGTCTCTCTTCTTCCAGTTCACTCCTCCATTACACTTTTTTTCCAGATTTCTCATTTTTTGAAGGTCTTTGTGACAGTTGAGCAAAGACTTCTAACTCTCCTGGAAAGCAACTCTGACAATCATTTGTTCACTCACTCACTCATTTATTTTTAAATTTATTCATTGAGAGTTGCTTATGCATTCATTTAATTGTTCATCTATCCATTCATTTATTCATTTGTAAACATTCCGGGGCCAGCACAGTGTGGGGACTGACCTGTGAGGGCAGAACCCTGGCTCTGAGCCACTTCCTCCAACTTTTTCACACCAATTAAGATTTCTAACTAGGCTCTGTATAATTGGGTCTTTGGGACATCATCCCTGAAGCACCCCAAAGTTTCTAAGTCGGGCACATTTCCCCTCTCCCTCTAAATCACCGTGGGGATTGCGCAGTCCCTAGGCATACAAGAAGCTTTGAAAGGTGCCTCTGTCATTTGGCCTGCTCCCTGGGAGGCCGTCATCCGGGATGAAGATGGGAGCTGCCCAGGTCGGGGAGTCCCTGGCTGCCCACGGTAAACTACTGGGGACCCCATTCAGCTTCGAGCCCAATAGAATTCCCTGATTCTACCAAACCTGACACACTTCAGAGAACCCCACTGAAGTCTAAGCACTTTGGCTAATCCCATCAAAGTGTAGAAGTTCCACTTAATTCTACCAAGTTGCAAACAGTTCTCTGAATTCTACAAAAGTCTAGGCACGTTTTCTCAGTTTGGAAAGCTAGGGCAGCATGAAACCCCATGTCCCCCCACCAGGGTTTGGGCCTACTTTTGACTTGTGTTCCCCCAGCTCCAGCCTCAGAAAGTCCCTGGTCTCACACCCTCTGAAACATCTCCCAGGGAGCCAAGGATATGCATCTGGAAGAGCCTGAAGGTAAGTGAAAAAATGGGGATGGGGGAAAGGGTAAGGGCCTAGGCTGGGAGTCAGGGCCCAGGGAATTTCCGGAGCCTTGGCTTCCCCCTCGCACTCACTGTGTCATGCTGGGCAAGCCCCTTCCCCTCTCTGGGCCTCCATTTCCCCGCAGTTAACAAGTGGGTGGCCTTGCTGATCTGTAAGACCCCTCCCAGCTCTGTGGTCTACCGAGGCTAGGAACAGCTCATATTTGGTGGCCTGCTCACTCCCAACTTGTCTTAGCCCCAGGAAGTCATAACAAGACAGGAAGAAGTTGGCTGCGGCTGGGCCGGGAGCTTCAACTTGACCTTCAGAGCCTGGGAGAGGAGAAGAGGACAGTGGCATCCCCCCCGGCTGGCAGGGATGGGCAGCAGGCAGGAAGTCAGAGGGAAGGGGAACAACATCCTAGAGGGGCAAACACAGGGCCATGGGGCTCAAAGGAGAGAGCACTCGCGGTGGCCTGGGATAAAGACAGGCTCCCCCGGGGCAGTGGCACTTGAACTGGTTTTTCAGTGGCCAGGAGAGGAGTGAAGGCAAAATGGACGTTGCGGGCCCTGCAGACAAAGCTTGCTGCCCTGCACAGCCACAGCCTCTCTGCTCCCCTCTTCCTGCAGGCCCCACCCCACCGCTGAAGGAGGGAAGGTAGAGCAAGGAGGCCCAGATCCTGCGCACTCACCCTGGGAAGCAGACAAAACTTTCAGCTGGTTTGGTGACCTGGTCCCTGTCCTGCGGTTCCTTTGTCCTTATGGTTCACCTCAGACAGAGTTTGTTCCCCGCCCTCAGGCTGCTCTAGTGACACTTCCACACCCCTGCCTGGTCTCCGCCTAGGTAAAACTAGTCCTACCAGTCCTCTCATACCCTGGCCACCGGTCCAAGGGTCTGCACGACTGGTTTTTGGGGGATGTGTGTGTTTGAGTGAGTGTATGTGTGTGTGTGCAAGTGAGTGTATGTGTGTGTGTGCATGTAATGCAAATAAGAGAGAGTAAGAATGAGAGTGCCTGCTACATATGCACATACACTCATGTGAATGATTGTGTACACACATGAACAAAGAGTGCATGTATACTCACAGGCACGTGTGTGTACCTGGGTGTCCAACAGGTGCCTATGTGTACACATGGAGGTGGGTGCATATGTGAGGACCCTATGTGGATGTGTTTTCCAACAGATAGCCCACGGCTGCAGATGTTTGCTAGTAACATTAGGGGGTACATTATAATATGTGGACCCATGTAAAGAGGAGGCTGTGGCCTGATCTAGTCACAGGGGCTGCAGGAAAGCACGATACCACCTCTGTACCTCCCCCAAGCCCCCCACAGTGCCTGCTGCTATTGACACTCTGCTAACTGAGGTGCCTCTCCAGGAACCCAGCCTCAGCATTTCCCAGGTGAATCTTGGAGGGAGCTCAAAACCCCTACTCCGCTGACCCTGCAATGTCTCTGTACAAAATCAAGCTGAGTCAAGGCCTTCTCTGTGAAGTCCCAGAGCTAGGTCAGAACTCTCCTTACAGCGGAAGTGGCCCGTTATTGCATGAAGTAAGGCCCAGAGCTCTGGACCTTGCATAAAAGTATGTCTCTGGGAGCCACAAGCTTCCTGTCACTAGAGGCATGCAAACAGAAGCAGGATGAGGTGAGGCATGGAAATTGGAGAGTGTTTCTGTCTGTGAATGTTTTGGATTCAGTGATGTCTGGCATGTGGTAGGAACTCAAACTCAATCACTTCTTGATTCTAGTAAGAATCAACACAGGAGAACTAAAGGAAATAAATTGTCTCATGCAAAGGAATCATTGACAAGAATTGTTGTTCAACCCAAACACAGGCTTGGACAGTGTATCCTTGGCATGGGTTTATTGACACCATGCCTGGTACCCGAAACACTAAGGAAGGATTGAAGCATGCTCCTTAGCTAGTGGGAAGATTGCAGGAAGGACATCAGAGAAATGCATCCATCTAATGCAATAAAGGAACCACCAACATTTGGGGCTTGACAGAAGCAAACATGTGCTCTGTGCATGGGGTAGGTGCCACAGTGTTGGGAGGACCAGGTGCTAGATTCACTTTGCTAGGGACCCACTTTGTGACCTTAGTTTTCCAACCTGCACAATGGGAGATCCAATGAGTTGACCTCTCAGGATACTTATCATGCTGATGCCCTAGGAATTTATGAGGTCAAAGCAGCTCAGGATCAGACCCAGAGAAAATAAGTTTGGGGCTGCACTACAAGGTCCATCAAATTTTAGCTCAAAAGGGCATGATGAAAGCAGGTTCTGAAACAGACCCTGTGGAGGGACAGGTGGACAAGCTCACTGATAGGCTCAGAGGAGAGCAGCCCCTCCAATGCAAGGCGCGAGGCATGCTTCATGCAGGGAGACCAGAACTAACTTGAAGAGACAAGTCAGATTTCTGCAGGCTGAGGGATAAAGAAGGGGGACATTCCTGTAGCCGGAACAGTGTCAAGCAATGGCTCAGAGGCTTCCTTAAATCAGGAGGACCCTTAGAGAACAACTAGCCCAATGGTTTTCAAAGTGTGGTACCTTGTCCAGCAGCCACAGCAGCAGCATCACCCAGACCTACTGAGTCAGAAATGCTGGGAAAAGGGCCCAGTAATGTGTTTTAACAAACTTTCCAGATCATTTTGGTACATATGAGAATCTCTGATCCAGCCCAGTGAATATTTATCAATAGTAGGTTAATGGGGACTCTGTAAAAGGAAGATCCAGGGCCAATTAAGTTTGGGAATTACATGTCCTCCACCGCTTTGGGAAACACTGGCATATTAAAGGCTCTGAGAAGGTCTCCAGTAAAGAGCTTTGTTTACTTTTGATTAATCCAGTGCTGTCTCAGTTGGATTTTTCCATTTGCCTACTAACATTTCCATTAACAGTCTCAGGGAAATGCTGATTTAAGTCATTTTTCAAATTGAGAAATTGCAGCCTAGAGGTACGGGGATTGCCCGAACTCACAGAGAGACGGTGTGGCAGGGCTGGAAAAGGCCCTTGCAGGAGGCCTCACCCCAAAACTGGCTCTGTGGGCTCTAGACATCCCCCATCCTCTTTTCCGCCTTCACATCTATGTGTTTCTCCAGAGCCCTGCAGAATGGAGCTGGTTAATAGGACAGAGGCCTCTGAGTTCGTTCTGGAAGGATTCTCTGGCTACCCAGCCCTAGCGCGCCTGCTCTTCCCTCTGTGCTTGGCCATGTACCTGGTGACTCTGCTGGGGAACACAGCCATCATCGCGGTGAGCGTGTTGGACCCCCGCCTGCACACGCCAATGTACTTCTTCTTGGGCAATCTCTCCATCCTGGACATCTGCTACACGTCCACCTTTGTGCCTCTGATGCTGGTCCACCTCCTGTCAGCCTGGAGAACCATCTCTTTTATTGGCTGTGCAATCCAGATGTGCCTGAGCCTGGCCACAGGCTCCACAGAATGTCTGCTGCTCGCCATCATGGCCTACGACCGCTACCTGGCCATTTGCCGGCCTCTCAGGTACCCGGTGCTCATGAGCCACCGGCTGTGCTTGTTGCTGGCAGGAGCCGCCTGGGTCCTCTGTCTCTTCAAGTCAGTGACTGAGACAGTCATCGCCATGAGGCTGCCCTTCTGTGGCCACCACGTGGTCAGTCACTTCACCTGTGAGATCCTGGCAGTGCTGAAGCTGGCATGCGGTGACACATCCATCAGTGAGGACTTCCTGCTGGTGGGCGCCATCTTGCTGCTGCCTGTGCCCCTGACGTTCATCTGCCTGTCTTACACGCTTATCCTGGCCACCATCCTGAGGGTGCCCTCGGCTGCCGCGCGCCGCAAGGCCTTCTCCACCTGCTCGGCACACCTGGCGGTGGTGCTGCTTTTCTATGGCACTATCATCTTCATGTACATGACACCCAAGAGCAAGGAGGCCCGCGTCTCTGATGAGGTCTTCACAGTCCTCTACGCCGTGGTCACACCCATGCTGAACCCTGTCATCTACAGCCTGAGGAACAAGGAGGTGAAGGAGGCTGCTAGGAAGGTGTGGGGCAGGAGAAGGGCCTCCAAGTGAGTCCTGCAAGTTATGTGCTGGGTGGGCACTGCTTTTGGGGAAGAACCAAGAAGAGCACAGCCTCTCACAGCATCTCCACTCCCTGCCTCCCTCGGGCCTCAGAGACACCGTCTGTATGGTGGGAGCGCGGGTCTTGGCCTCCACGCCGGGAAGCACAGCCCTCCCTTGAGTCCTCAGTTCCTCTCCAGCGCTCTTTCTGCTCCTGTTGGTCAGAAAAGAGGCACAGAGAAGAGAAGTGCCCTGCTGCCCGCACCTCAACCCTCTCAACCGAGCCAGAGTGAAGGCTGCCAGCCAAAACGTTCTGCGGGCCTTTCAGGCCACTACAGGAGATCGGACTTCATCCTGTGGGCACTGGGGGTTTTGAATCACATTTACTTTTAGAAAGGCCACTGATTGTATATCATTCTTCACCCATAAAATTGGCACAGAAATTTTTAAATGTCTATTGTTAATGAAGGTGCTTTGACGTAGGTAATGTCATATACTACTGGTGAGAATATGAATAAATTAATATGAACTTCCTGCAAAGTAAGTTGGAATATGAATCAAGAGACTTAAGAACTTCCAGAACTTGGGCCCAACACCTTCTAAGCCTAAGAAGATAATTAGAGGCACAAAGATTTATGCGCAAGGATATTAATCATGGCATTATTTACAGCAACAAAAAATTGTAAGAATTTCAATGTCCAACCATGAAAGAATGTTTAAATAAATCCTGGTGGAGTCCAATGATAGAATGTAATGAAGCCATTAAAAATCTTATTTTTTGAAGGATATTTAATGATAGGAAATGTTCACAGTGTTAATTGCAAGAGGGTGCTGTTCTAAGAGCAGTGAGAAAATAAGTGGCCATGTGGTTTGTCTTTCTCTGGCTGGTTTATTTCAATTAGCACAATACTCTCCAGATCCATCCACGCTGTCACAAAAGGTAAGATTTTTTTCTTTTTTATGGCTGACTAGTATTCTATTACGTAAATGTACCACAGCTGTTTTTTACCCACTCGTCCACTGATGGGCACTTAGGTTATTTCCAAACCCTGGCTATTGTAAATTATGCTGCTATGAACATAATGATGCATATATTCTTTCAAATTAGTGTTTTGGGTTTGTTTGGATATATTCTCAGAAGTGGAATTACTGGGTCATAAGGCAGTTCCATTTTTAATTTTTTGAGGAAACTCCATATTGTTTTTCCATAGTGGCCGCACCAGTCTGCATTCCTACCAACAATGTGGAATCTAATGAACAAAGTAAACAAACAAAATAGAAACAGACTCATAGATACAGAAAACTGACAGCTGTCAGAGGGGAAAGGGTTGTGAGGCTTGGTGAAAAAGGTGAAGGAATTAAGCAAAAAAACCCCAAAACCAAAAAAACCCCTCGTGGACACAGACAATAGTGTGGTGATTACCAGAGGGAAGTGGGGTAGGGGAGGTAGAGGAGAGTAAAGAGGGGAGAAACCGTGATGGAAGAAGACTTGACTTGAGGTGGTAAACACACAATACAATATAAAGATAATATATTATAGAATTGCACACCTGAAACCTATATGATTTTATTAACTGTTACCCCAATGACTTCAATACAATTTTAAAAAATAAATTGAAAAAAGAAAGAAAGAAAAAGAATGGACACAATCTTGACCTGTGTTCTTGATAAAAATTCCAAAAGCCAAAAGTACAATGGAAAATTTTGCAGCAGCTGCTGCTTTATTTATGGCTCTTTTTTTAGTCCCTAAACTGTGTCAAGTTGGTTTTTTTTTTTTTTTTTTTTTTTTTTGGTAGGGAGAAAATAGAAAAGGAGAGAGAAGGGAAAAGGAAAAGGAACTATAGAAACTCATGCACCTCACTAAATTCCAGACTTAATGGTCCCTCACAAGTGCTTGGGGTCTCAAATCCTATACAATAACTTGCTTTTCTTAAACTTCCATGAATCCAGGTCCTTACAACAATCCTGGAAGGAGACAGCCCATTTACAAACCTATACACCAGGTCTAGGGGAGTCATAGTCCCCAAGCCTCAGAGCCAAGGGGCAGGACTGCAATGAGACCCAGCCTCCGGATTCCTTGTCCAGTGTCTCTGTAGCGCCAGCCCCACCCTAGCCAGGTCCTCTTGGGACGGCACAAGGAACCCGGGGTCTCCAAAGCCCCACAGCTACCAAACTTGCAAATGTGTGTATTTGCAGAGTTTGAACTTTAAATTGGGCAGGGACTGCAAAGTCCCTGAAGGCAGGAGCAGACAAGTTGTCTATGCAGCAGGGTGCCAGGAGGCTGGTCCTCCTGGGCACAGCCCTGGCCCATCCCAGTGCCGTGTGTCACTAATAATAAACTCAGTACTTCCCAGCTCTGCTCTCGGGTCAGCTCACCTGGCAGCCTTCTCCTGCTGCCAGCATGCGCTAGTGCCACTAGGCCAATAGGTAGGAGGGGAGGAGAATCCATAGCATGTTGATTATTCTCATTAAATCTTTTTTAAATATATAGAAACCAGAATTTCTGCTTGGGGAAGAGGACATCATACTAATAATGTCGGCCACCACTTATTGATTCCTTACCATGGGCCAGGCTCTGTGCTAAGAGTTTTGTATCATCTCACTGGACCCTCAAAATAACCCCACAAGGAAGTACTATTCTTATCTCCACATAACAGGTAAGGAAGGTGAGGCTGAAGAAACTGTTATCAAGCGGCAGGTCTGGGGCGTGGGCCCTGGTCAGTCTGACTGCAAAGCCCACAATCACATGCTCTGCTAGACAGCAAGGAGGGAACGAAGCAGGAATCCCAGATCCATGCATGTCAGGGAAGTTGGAACGGAAGCTTTCATCTTGTTGGGTCACTCAGCTTCCTTTTAAAATAATGTGTGAAGCCTAAAATAAGCATTAAATGGTTTATATTAGATTTATCAGCCTATGAAATTGATATGATAGGTACCTTGTAAAGTAATCCTGGGTCTGTTAGACTTCAGGGTTAGAAATTGCTAGAAGGATGAGAGAAAATGTTTTGGAAGCTATAGAGTACCAGAGACCACCGAATAGAATGGTCCCATTTCACAAAAGGAGAAATTTGGCCAAGGTCATAGAGCAGAATGAGAAGAAAGGCAAGAATCAACCCCAGTTCTCTGACTCCCAGTCTCAGTTCATGACATCACCCTGCCTCTCAGAAGGTATAAAACTGGGGAGCGAAATTAGACAGTTATCCTCAGATCCTCCTGTCTCCCTCTGTGAACCCTGGACATGACCGAGTGTGAGACGTTGGCAGATAGATGCAGTGGTTTTCTGGGAGTTTTGTGAAAGCTATCACATCCACATACTCAGCAATATTTCTGGTTCTCCTCCTTCTGGAAACGTAGTGGGCTTACTCAGGCAGGGTTGTGTGTGGAACATGTCGCTTCTGGCTCAGAGCATTTAACCGCTGGTGTGAGGTGCTCTCGTGTGTTCTTCGCAAGCTGTAACAACTGGGGATGTCCCAGATGGTGGAGCCAGGGTCTCTGAGGAGGACCACATGGAGCGGAGCCTCCTGAAAACCTACAATGGAGATGTAGCATGAGAAAGCATGTAGCATGAGAAAGAAAGATGTAGCGTGGTATGTCACGGTAAGTCACTAAAATTATGAGGTTGTATGTTACTGCAGCAAAGCCCAGCCCATCTTAACAGAATCACCAAGGAAACAGCAGCTGCATCCTGGTGTCTCATTCTGTGCTCATGTTGCAGAGTCAAAGCTGTCAGGAACCTGGCAGCATGATGTTCTCTGGACACCGACTTACTTCTTTGGGACCATTAGCCTGTGGCCCCATGGGCTAGTTCTAATTTCCATGTGTGTTATGATCAGACAAATTGTGAGGAAACCCACTGTTCTCCTGATTTCACTCTTCAGAAAGAGCAGCTGTGACTATAGGTAGGAGAGTGGCACCCCCGAAGTTCTTCTGCCAGCAGGCTCAAGGGCTCATCATTCTGCTGGTGAGTATGTATTAGGAGGGGGGAGGTGGTCTCAAGGTAAGACACCTGGGATCAGGATTTTTGGCAGAACAGCGGATCTCAAATGGCGATCACCCACACCTCCTGAGCGGCAGTGATGAACGCCTGTGTTAGTGGCACCCTGTCGTGCACATCAGCCGTCTGGATGGTAAACGCTGTGGAGGCATCCGAGAAGGCTGCACAGAGGGGGTGTGTGTGAGCTGAGCCTTAAAGGATAAGTGGAGGAGAAAGGCCACTCCAGCCTGAAGAGAGAGTACGAGAAGGGTGAGACAGGATTGTGCGGGGTTCGTCCATTGATGAGGGTGTCTGCGGAGGCCAGAACAGGTACTGCAAGAAGGGACGTGGTAGAGGGAGGTGAGGCAGGAGGGCAGGTCAGAGCCTGATCACAAAAGCTCCCAAATGCCTCCTCCATTCCCACTTGGCCTTTCTGTTAGAGACAAAGGTGAGGAAGAGAGATACAGGGTCACATTGCACCTGCTTGAAAACACCTCCACATCCACGCTCAGGGTCCTAATTCGAGGTTCACATAAGTTTTTTTGTAGCGACACACTCAGTGAAAACCAAGTCCTTATCTTTGAATCTGAAATACCGTGGGCACAATCCAAACCACATGAAGTGATAATCTAAGCAAAAAAATATGCTTTCTTTTAACTTCTCTCCAGATTTCAAATTTTAGTTTGTCTTTATATCTCAGACTAGAAAAGAACCTCAGATTTCTAAAGCCCAGAAAGAGGAAGGGATGTGTCCAAGGTCACCGAGAGAGAAGGAGACACAGAGAGAGAACAAGTGTGAACTCTGTTAGTACAGAAGTCTGTCTTTCCTTTATCCCCAGCACCTCGCACTGGGCGTAGGGCATAGTAGGTGCTCAACAAATATCTGTTGAATGAGTGAACAAATGAGCCACCACACTCAGGCAATTCTTTTATCTTTTCACCAAATCTTAGCAAGAGAAACCCTACCTTTAAATGTTTACATGGACAAGATTTAAGGTCAGTTGCTGACGTAGATTAATCACCTGCCCCTATGATCCAGA